TGTTTTTCTTAACACATTCAGCTCTACCTTTTCAGCATACATTGGTAAGCTATTTATACTTTTCTATCTAACAATGGTTATTTACTTTATAATTGGCTATACTAACTCTAAGCTTTGCTTAACTTTCTATACTTTTCAATTACACATAGTTCCCTTATCAGTACCCAAGCCTTATCTATAGTTTCTTATCTTGTAACACTCAATCTTTCATGCCAGACTTTCAGGTTTTTGGATTCTAGACCATTATGCATAAATCGCATCACCCACGTGATCCATAACACTATATATATACATATACAACTTGCTAGTGCAACAGGAAACTAAAAACCTAGCTGTAAGTTAAATTGTCGACAATCCAACTTGCAGTCTCAAATGCCTGCTTAAATGTTCGAGAGCCCTGATTTAGTTCAAGGTTTCCTATTGAAGGCAGTAGCAGCAATGTAGCAGATTTAAGCTTTTCTAGCATTTTATCAACAAAATTTAATATATTAGTCCAGGGTTTCATACTGGAGGCAATATCGAACTTTATTGACAGTAGCTAGTTGCACTTTTAGGAAGGCCAGTCTACAAGTATTAATCCAGGGTTTTTCACTGGAGGCAACTTTAAAGACTTGCCAGGTAAAAGACTCTTAGGTTTTTGTTTCTCCCTTTCGATCGATTTACTCACCATTAGCTTCGATCTGTTTCTGTTTCTTTGATACATGCATCATATTACCTATACCAGTGTTTTAGAAATAAATATAAAAGTTCCAGTAGCAACAAAATACCAGTGCCTTGTACTTACTTGACTATAAATATGGTGGGAACAGGGAATCGATATAAAGATTTGGTCGATAGTTAAGATACCAGGTTAATTGTTGATAAAAGATGCCAGTTAAAGTAATCGAAAAAGGTGCCAGTTTATTTAATCAAAAAAGAAAGAACCAGTATACAGTTGCAGTAAAGCAAAGGAAGTTAATGTAACAGCTGTAAAAACATAAACAGGTGATAAAAATATACTTTCGATTGTAGCTGTGGAGGTAGGCAGCTATATATATTTAAATAAAATCGATCGTTTAACCAATATATAAAGTGTATATATTTTTGCGAACTTGCAAGAACAAGAAAAAAACATTGCAGGTAAAAAAAAATTCCTAGGTAAGATACCTGGCAACAGGGATGGTAAAACAACAAAAGTAAAAGGAGAAAAATAAAAAACATGATTAAAAAAATATTGGATTATCTGAATGAATACAGATCATATAAAAATAAATCTGTTCGGATATGGATTGGATCAAATAAAAACTGATCCAATTAGATTTGGATCAGATTAACCTAAAATCCGATTCGATCTGATCCATTGCAATTTCTACCTGTAATATATGAATCCAAAAAATTATCTCCAACAGAACAGAATTATGTTATACATGAGAAAAAATTGTTAACTATTATTTATGCTATCAAAACATAGTGCATATACTTAGAAGAACAAAAGTTCATTGTGATAATAGATTATTCATTATTGGAATATATTAGAAACCAGCCCAACTTGTCAAGAAGACAAGCCTGATAGTTAGAAACTCTGCAATTATATAACTTTGTGATAAAATATAGACTTGGTAAAACAAATGTAGTGGCCAATGCATTGTCAAGAAAACTACAACTAGAAATGATGACCATCTTAATTGCAGCCTTAATGGATAATTAGATCCTTGAACAAGATTATCAGAATGACAAGTACTTTGCACCAATTATAAAAACTTTGCAACATCCTAAGCAAGTTAATAAAAAAACCCAAGCAGGAGTCAAACATTTTGAACTGTGTGATAGACATATATATCTTTGAGAGAAATATAGATTAGTCATTCCTGCTAATAAGAAATTAAAGATGCATATTCTTCAAGAACATCATGACATTGAAGTCACAGGATATTTAGGAATAAACAAGACCATAGAAACCATTATGAGAAACTTGCACTGGCTGAAAATAGGTAAAGAGATTCATTATTATATATAAATATGTAATATATACCAAAGGAATAAAAAAAGCAATCAGACACCTGTCAGATTTCTTCATTCCCTACCAATCCTCAGTAAAATATGGGAAGAAATTACTATAAACTTTATTGTGCAGTTGACCCTGACAAGACAAGGATATAATGTTATAGTAGTATTTGTCAACCGTCTTTCAAAGAGAGCATATTTTCAATTGATATACATCTCTGTCACTATCCTAGAAGTAGCCAAGATTTTTTTCATGACCATTATCAGAAACTATAGTTTGCTCGAGATAATTATTTCAGATAAAGATTCAAAATTCACTAGCCAGTTCTGGCAAAGTGTTTTCAAATATCTGAATACCAAGACTGCTATATTAATAGCCTTTCATTCTTTGACTGATATACAGATAGAGAGAATAAATTGCATTTTAGAAAAAATAATCTAAGCCTATGTGATATATAGACAAGATCAATGGAATAAATACTTATTAGCTGCTAAGTTTGTGTACAACAATTCCAAACAAGCATCAACTAGGTATACATCCTTTATATTGGATTATAGATAGTATTCAAACACTTCAATTTCTTTAATCATATCATCAGAAATATCAGCTGCAGATAATTTTATAAACCATTGGACTTCAATGATTAAATTGACAAAAGATGCATTAAGGAAAGTCCAAGAAAGACAAGTAAAGTATATAAATAAATATCGACATTACCTAATATTTAATGTAGGAGTCCAAGTTCTCCTGTTTTTGAAGAATATTAATACCTCTGTTGATTGATACTGGCCTATTAAGAAATTGACTCCAATATTCTTCAGACTATATCAAGTAACACAAGTAGTTTCTCTGATCATATATAGACTGAATCTTTCTGCTGAAATGAAATCTACTCTGTATTCCATATTTCAGTGCTGAAACTATACCAAACTGTCACAAATGAATTTTTTCAATCCATACCATCTCCTGCCACTGTCCTACCTAGTATTGAACAGGAAGAATATGAAGTTAAAACTATTCTAGATAAAAATATTCTCTGAAAGAAATCCCAGTATCCAGTAAAATAGCTTGGGTATCCTTTCCATAAAGTAATATGAAAACCTGTGGATTACTTGATAAATGTCAAAGCGAAGCTCAAAGAGTTTGAGAAGATGAAAATGTCTTCATTTTAAGAAGAGAAGAATGTAATAAATCCGTGTCTACCTTATTAACTCTGTATAAATATATATGACTTTATATGACTATAGACATAAAGTCCATCCTGTCTACTATTTTTTGACTTTTCACATAATATTATCTGAGATCATTTTTAGCAATTCTGGACTGAGTACTCATCATCTCAATCAATTTGTCTTGTTTCTCCAAAATAGAAATTAGCTTCATAAACAGGAGTAACACAAACAATAGATTTCTTTTATTTTTATAATATTATTTTTGTTTTTTTCTTTAAGGTATATTATAGCCCTATAAGTCTAGACATTCGTTATATCAAGATTTATATATTTTTATTTAATGTATTTATAGATTTATTCATATAATTTCAATTAAAAGATACTTTAGATTAGATTTTTATATAGAAAGGAAAAGCCTTTCCTGAAATAAAACAACTTTGTTATCTTATTAATCAAATAATAATTGTTCACTGACTTTTTGGAAATAAAGTCTTTTATAGTTATTAATTTAAAAATTTTAAATGTTTTCTAGTAAGGAATATTTGATTTTTGTTTCTGTTTCCTTTTTAGGGACCTATCTTTACTTATAGACAATTCCAGGAATATTTTATCAGTAACTATTTTTTGTATTTATATTATACTCTAACTTGAAAATTTAATAAAACAAGATTGGATTGTCATTTCAAAAAAAAAAAAAAATAAATCAATGCATTCAAATTTAAGTTTAATAAGTCTATTCTAATATAAAATACTGTATATTATTAAATTATAGAATTGGATTTACTGTAGGAAACAAAATAAATTGCCTAAATTTTTTAAAAAATTAAAATTTTTATTATAATTTAGAATTTATTTATTTAAAAAATATAAAAATATTAATATAAATATTTTAGTATTATAAAATAATTTTTAATTAAATTAATTTATATTTATTTAATATTATTTTTAATTTTTTTTTTAAATTTTATATATTAAGTTGTATAAATATTATAAGTAATATATTATTTTAGTACAAATTATATATAAAATTACATTTAAAAAGCCAAATTTATATATATTAGTTTGTAAAATTTATGTATAATATAAAAATTTTTAATTGAAATAAAAATATAAAATAATAATAATAATAAAAGTTATAAAATAATCTTAAAATATAAATACTTAAATACCTAAAAATTAATTTTACTTAAGTTTAATTTAATTTAGATAATTCTTTATTAAATTAAATATATTTGAAAAAAAGGCAAATTTTTTTGTTCCCTACTGTACCTTGACCTCTGCATGATATTTAAAGAACTATTGAAATATATTATCAATTGAAGACAATAATATATCTTATTAAGGCAAAAATTCCTAAGTATTATTATATTGCTAGCCGTCACGAATAAATCTGAAAGACAAAAAGAATAATCTTGATAATGATTCAAGATCCCTCGTGGAAGCTCAAAAGGTCACATAAAGATTTCCACATTACGCCGTATAGATATTAAATCTGTTCTATATTTTCCAGGATGACGATTCTCAAATCCTGATTTTAGATCACGGCACGATTACGTACTTACAGTTACGCATATTTGTATATCTATTAACAAATTGTTCAATGCGTTATTAAAATAAAGTAAAAAGAAAAAAAAAATCATGCGATACGAATGTTATATCTCGATACAAATAACGCATAATCTGAAGGGCATGCATTGATTTCTCCAGCAGCCGTTGCAACCGTTCTCGCTGAGAAGAATAACTTTATTACGCCTGCGATGCTGCGGACAATCGTTGTACTAAAAGTTTTACAATATTTCCACCGGACACACATTCAGTTTCCATGGTCTATACAAAAAGAAAATTAATATTATTGGTCAAAATATTCCACGCACAATATGGCATCCCGGAATACTTGCCGAAATAAATGGCTCGTAACTATTCACATAGAAGAAATTATCATCGACTTCTACCCTAGGAAATGGTTGATTTGGTATTAATCGTGGGTAAGACTTCCAAACTTTCTTAAAAATCCAAGATCGTTCCGTGAATATCCTATCTAGCACTTTGTCGTTCATCTCCTGATGCGAGAAAATCTTATGCAAAGTTTCGCCATTTTCTAGAACAAGTTCAGTGGTGAAGCTTAAAAATTCTGTTTTTCCGCTGTTTGTGGTGACGATTTGCTGAGGAACTTCTTCGATCTTTTCATATCCAAAATAAGCGGGATTCACGCGACCCGCGATGAGTGTCACATGGAGGGTAACATATTGAATCTCTTTCATTTCGACATTTATGTTTTCAAATTCGATCTTTGAAAATTGCTTAGACAACAGAAAACAATGTGAGAAGTCGCGAGCTAGTTTAAACAATCATGAATGATGAAATAATGATAATAATTACTATGGGAGTTGCCAAAACGATCGCGTCAAAACTATCCAACTCGCCATTTTTCGTTTCCACATTATACTTTAATACCTCCTTATCATTTTTTATATTGATAACTTTCGTAATTTTCGTCACCTCCGTGTCTAACCTTATTTTTGCTTCAGAATGTTTGATGAAATTTTCAAAAATTTGATAATTTCCTCCCCGAATACTTTTGGCACCTTGTGGTGCTAAACTAATGAACGCTCCCATTACATGTATCTCCCCCAAGTTTTGTCCATAATTTACTCTGGTCATCGGCTCTACAAAGTTTTGTAAATAAAGTGAATTCACATTTTTTAGTTCTGAAAAGTAATACTGAGCGTTAAACTGTGTCTCAATTTCCACGTGGAGCCGTTCGATTTCGGAGTCGACGCTGAAAAAAGGTTCGGAAAATTCGTACGTTTTTTGAAACTTGTCGATCATAGAATCCACCATTCTTTGAACCGTCATCTTAGCCCAACCATATTTCCAGAAAAATTTTACTTTGTCCAAGAGAGAGTTTGAGGATTGCACGAATACGAAATTTTCCCCATCCCATCTAGAGCGTGAAAGTTGATTTGTTAATCATTTATAGCCTTAATAAATCTATATATTCGTTAGATCCCTACATCCCAAGCCTCGAATCAGGATACTCTTCCTCATATTCCATAAACTCCAATCCAAACTTCTTGGCTGCGTTGACTAGATGGTAATTCAGATCTACGAAAATCGATGCGCCCAATTCAATCGATATCTTTGTATCATTTCGCTCAAAGTTCACTATATGCACTCTTCCGCCGACTTGAGATTCTTTTTCATAGACAGTTATAGAGATGGGCTTGGAAGTATTGGTGTAGGATTTGGACAAATAATAAGCAACCGATGATCCCCCCGCGCCGGCACCTGATTAAAAGGAAGCATAGAAGTAAACAAAATGTATCGGAAAAATTCGGGTGATAATGAAAATTTTTTTAAAAAGAGCCCATGCCTATTATCCCTACTTTCTTGTGTTCACTTTGTTGTGAAGGGGTTAACAAGGGAACTTGAAAGTGAGTGACTTGTTGGTTAGTCAAAGAATTGGTGTAAAACACCAGTAGTATCGAGGCGGCAATTAAGACGGAAATAATAATTGACTGAATAAAGTGCCATGAAAATTTTAAGGAAAACATGATTTTATCGTTTTCACCTTTTCTTATGTCGGAGAGTAGGGCAGAATCCTGAAAATCTGTAGTGCTTAAATATATGAGGCCTAATTTGTCTGTTAATCATTCGATTATCTTAGGGTTTTTATGCAACACAGGAATATCTACCGGTATTCAGGTATACCGAAACTTGAACTCTTTTTTTTCGTATTGTCCTATAATAATAATTACTTTGTATATACATTCAATAGTAATACTAATACTGTATTACTGAAAAACTTGACTTGTTATCTTGTTTATTAAATATATAATAATAATTATTATTTACATATCAACAATTATATATTGTCAAATATAAAAGATATAAAAAATTGATTTAAATTACTATTATTTAATTATTTATTGACATTGCAAGTATTACAACGTAGCTATTTTAAGTACTATAGTACGAAAAAGATACAGTATCAATATATAGGGATGAAATTTAATAGAATTTATATACAAATTATTATTACTTTATGACTTGTCACCTTTAACAGAAGAAACCAATATGCCAAAGTTGTGCTAATATAGGTATAAAAAAATATTAAAAATGACAAATTTGCCTTTAATTATAATTACATCGCTTAATGTGGACTATTGTATTATACCAAGTTGATATTGCATTTTTTTTGCCACATTCGAAGGTCGCCCCTTCTATATTAGTATGTGACTGATTTCAACATACGTAAATGGTCACACGAGGGGTAAGTAGTGCTCTAATCATTAAGTTGGGTTAGAATCCTCACTTGGTGATGTAAACGCAAAGCACTTATATTGTTATAAAACAAAAAAAGTATTAAAGAATCATTTTTAAGTAACGAAGATTTTTTTAATAAATTTCTTTAATTTAATATAATTATAAAAGATATTAATATAACAATATTTAGTTTTTAAGTCATATAAGAATTTAAGATTTATTATAAGTTATTGGTTTGCTATAAATATACGAAATTATTATTTAAATCAAATTAGAAATAAGTATATTCTAAAAGTAAAAGTTTTTAATAGTCAATAAGTTTTTTTAAATAATATATAAGAAAAAAAATCCATATTAAAAACAAATAGATTTTTTAAATAATTAAGAGGAAAAAAAAAATATTTTAAATAATTTTCATCAAAAAAAAAATCTTAAAATATGAATTTTTAAAGAATGCAGAATATTTTTTTCAATTTTTTAAATAAGTATATAAACTTTTATATTTGATTAATAATTCTTGTTTAGTATTATTATGAATTATTCAGTACAAAAAAAAAAAAAAAAAAAAAAAAAAAAAAAAAATCTTTAGCTATTATTTTAATTATATTTATAACTTGATACTATATATTGATAATTAAATTTTTTATTGACATTAAATTTCTAATGTTATTTTTTTTAGAATATCGCAAACAATATCGGTCAAATAATCGGTTTGGTAGTGCCATTTTTTAAAATTAAAATAACAGCTGATCGTAGAGTTGAGGTTATTCTATTTGTATCACAAATTTGTTGGTTTCAACTACGGCGGGTTGTTTATACAGCTCTGAAACCCATGATCTTAGCTTAGATTTACAATAGGTACGTACATCAAGATTTATTAAATACGTACGTAATCGCTATTGTAATTCACCGGAGGTAATATTGCGACACATAAAACACAATCACTGACGTAATTTATATATTACTATTACCATTTTTAATCCAAATATTTTAATGACGTATCACGGTGATGCCGAGACGTAGCGTAAACAAAACACATACGATTGCATATTCTCGTGAAAATTACTAGGGGCGCGGAAATAGAAATATTGCCTAAATATAGTAAGGAAAGTATGATGAATATGCTATATAAATTCATATCTTTCCTTCTCTGGTTAAAAAAAGTTTTTTTTTCTCGTGTATATATATATACTGTATGTAAATAAAAATGAAACCTTTTAAAAATCAACAAAGGCAAACCGAAGATGACAACGTAAAGGAATTTAATCCCAACCTATTCAAAAATGTAAATCTTATCCTAACAACGGAATTGAGTAAAGTTAGTGAGGCTTACCTGGTGAATCATAAGCATAGCATAAAAGTCGTTCTTAAATGTATAAGGGGCGATAAATATCAAAGTGATGAGGAATATAATGCGAGATTTTACCGAGAGGTAAGACATGTCCCATTTTCGTAAAATTTTTAACAATGCGAGGTGTTTGTTAAATATTTTAAATTTATTAGGTACGAAATTTATATAGATTGAATGTGTTAGAATGTAACAAAAATGTAGTTAAATTCTTAGGTATCATCAAAGGTATATTTTCTAGCAAAACATTATGTCAATTTATTCAAGCATCGTTATTTTAAAAATAAGGTGTCGTTGATAAATTGTGAATTGCATTTTATTATACGATAGACCCTTGTCAGAAGTGCAAGTCTATAGTACTTCAATATGAACATGGGACAGATCTTAGGACATATTTGCAAGAGAATTTCGAGAAACTGAAGTGGAATTTTAAAATAAAAATGGCCTTAGACATTTCTAGTGGCCTAAACTATATCCATAACGAAAGTATTATTCATGGTAATTTCGTAAGTACATCAATTCTTATATGAACCGATCAATCGATTTATCAATTAATATGCAAAAGTACTAAAATTATCGTATGTTAGAACTTTAAAAATATATTAGTTTGCAATGGCAAGTTAATTATAATAGGTTTTGGATCCTCCATATTTCTTGGTGGATCAAATGACGCTCCTATTGAATCATTCCATTTCCGTAATGAATACATCGATCCTGAAACAATGGTTTATTTAGATCCACGATTTCTTGAATCTCCTTCTGATTATAGGAAAGGTGTGCATTCGGATATATATAGTCTCGGAGTGTTGTTATGGGAAATATCAAGTGGAATACCTCCTTTTAATGATGATGAGTATTGTAAAGAAACGTTAAAGCAGAAAATAATAGGCGGAGTTAGAGAAAGTCCTGTAGATGGAACTCCAGTAGATTATAAAGATCTCTATTGTGATGCGTGGAATCCGATTCTCGAACTTCGACCACCCGTTGAAAAAATTAAAAAAGATCTCAGTAAAATTGATGATAAACATGTATTTCAACGTTCGGATTATACTCCTGAGATTTATCCAAGAAATCTAAATTTAATAAAGGAGAATGAAGCTTATTTAACGGTTATTCGGGGTTCACCTCAAAATCAAACTTTTTTTCTTGATCATTTTGAGACATTTATAGGGAGAGGTCCTTCAAATCACATTATCACAAAGGATCAAGAAGTTTCTAAGGAAGGTGCGAAGATTAAAAATTACCATGGAAAAGTTTCGATTACAAACCTGAGTTCATCGTCTGAGATCTCTATAAATGAGTATGTGCTTCAGCCCGGTGAGACTCGCACTTTAGAAAAAGATGATGTGATTAAAACAGGAAAATGTATTTTTCAATATCATCCTGCTGGAGAATATGAAAACAATCTGGACCCTAAATTCTCGATCTATAATTCCGAGTACTTTTTGAAAGTTTTGAAACAAGAATATGAGTACGCCAGAGAAAAGAAAGAAATCTTGAGTTTAATATTTTTTGACATTGATCACTTTAAAAAGATTAATGACAAAAACAGAAGTCATGAGGCCGGGGATTACGTTATAAGAGAGTTAATTACATTAGTCAAAAATCATATCTGCCCTGAAGATACTTTTGCACGAAAGGGGGGAGACGAATTTACTATTCTTTTTAACGGTAAAGACGCCCGTGCGGCTGTCAAAATTGCAGAAGAAATTGGAACTTCGGTTATGAATCATCCATTCATTTATCAAAACAAAAGATTACAGGTTACACTCAGTATAGGAGTTTCCGAGATAACCTCGTCCGTGAAATCACCTGAAGTTATGCTTGAAATTGCCGATAAAGCCATGTACGCAGCAAAAAGATTGGGTCGAAACCGGGTATTCATGTGGAAAAATGAAACAAATTTAAAAGGTATCTCGTTTTTGAAATGACTCATTCGGAATACTGTTTGTTAAAATAATGATATTTACATTTACTGTTTACTGTATGTTATATAATTTGATGGTTGATGATATCAGATATGGACATACGTGTAATAAATGAAATAAGCGAGAATATTCTACAAGTCGCAGAACAGACTTTTCGTACGGACCCATTAGAAGATTTTCAGAGGACCAAATCTCTAGAGCAATTATCTAGGGAGAGTTTAGGGGTACAGAAACCCCTCGTGATCTTAACCGATCAACTGAGGAAAAGACAATTGAAAGACCTCGAGACGGAAAGATTAAAACTATATATTAGTCTTCGATGTAAAGACCAGCCTAATGACAAACAAAACTTTGATTTACTTAGCAGGGTTACTGACTTTTTGGAGGATTTCAATAAGAAGGTGCTCTTACTTATGGGAGATACAGGGGCAGGAAAGTCCATGTTTACTCGAAAGCTTGCGCAAATTTTGTGGCTGAGGTATAAAGAAGAAGGGGAAATCATTCCATTGTTTATCTCCTTGCCGACATTGAAAAATCCAGTTTACAACCTTATTCCTGAATACTTTAAGGACAAAGGAGGATTCTCGGAAGAGGATATTCGAATCTTTAAAAATTGGCGTTTTGTTTTTATTTTAGATGGATACGATGAAATAAATATGCGTGATCGAAATCTTTATACTTCTAATGTCCTCTGCAATTGGAAAGCCCAGGTCATCGTTAGTTGTCGTACGGAATATTTAAATGCTGGCTATGAAAAGAAATTTTGCCCGTATGGATTTGATGATCTGCCGATTTATGAGGCACTTCAAAAATTTGTGATTGCCCCGTTTTCTCGAGATCAGATTGACGAATATGTCGGGAAATTTGTTGAGACGGAAAATTTAAGAGGCTGGGACACGATTCGATATCAGAAGGTCATAAATAGCATCCCGAACTTGAGAGGATTATTAAGTAATCCTTTTATTTTAAAAATTTTTATGAAGGTTTTGCCCGATTTATCAAGTAATTCCAAAAATAATATATATCCATCAAGGCTTACCCGCTTGGATTTATACGATACTTTTGTAAGTAATTGGTTTGATAAAGCGGAAAGGCGTTTAGAAAAAATTGAAACCAGGTTGCCGGACAAAGAGAAGAAAATCTTTGACGAGTTAAAGGAAAGGAAGGGTGGATTTGCGCACGCAGTGTTTAAACACATAAAAGCGCTCGCACTAAAGCTTTATGAAACACGGCAGATAATAGTAAAATATTCCGAAGATAATGAAGACCCCACTTGGGATCCTTTTTTCGGTTCGGAGCCGGAAATCAGATTGTTACGTAGTGGCTATCCGTTAAAACGTATAGAATATTTTGTGAATCGTACTAAAGAGAATCACTATAGCTTTTTACATAAGTCGTTACTCGAGTACTTTATTGCAAGAGCAATCTATGAAAGTAAATCGGCAAAAGATGAAAATGACGCAGATGCAGAAAAACTTTTTGTTGAACGAAATTTTATAATCGACCCTGGTGTAATCCGCTTTTTAGTTGAGTATGCACAACAGAAGGATGCCTTTAGAGATAGACTTTTCGAATTTATCGAAATATCCAAAAAGGAAGCAACTTTTGAAACGGCGGCCGCTAATGCGATTACAATTTTGAATAGAGCTAGGATTGTCTTTAGTGGACGGAATCTAAATAAAGTTCGTATTGCAGGAGCGGATTTAAGTTACGGCGTGTTCGATCAGACGCAATTTAAAGGAGCAGATTTGAGCAATGTTAACTTTCACGGAGCATGGCTGCGGCGTGCAAACTTTCGCTCTGCTAATATGTCAGGTGTCCAATTTGGGGAGTTGCCCTTCTTAAATCATGGCAGCAGTTGTTGCTGTTACTCGCCTGACGGATGTTGGCTAGTTATTGGCGATGATGACGAAATTTATTTATATGATGTTGAAACATTACAGAACGTCTATATTTTTAGAGGACACACTAGTCACGTCAGAAGTGTAGGGATTTCCTCGGACAGCACCCAATTGGCTTCAGGTAGTTCCGATAAGACTGTGCGGCTGTGGTCACTCAAAGATTTGCATCTAAAGCCGCGCATTTTGAAAGGCCACATTGATTCTGTTAGAAGTGTTGCTTTCTCCCCGGATGGTACCAAGCTGGCATCAGGCAGTTATGACAAGACAGTGTTGCTATGGTCCCTTAACACATTAGATCAGGAACCACGCGTTTTAAGGGGACACACTCATTGGGTTACAAGCGTGACATTTTCTCCAGATGGCACCCTACTTGCATCGGGAAGTCATGACAAGACGGTACGTTTATGGTCACTTAAGGCATTAAATCAAGAACTGTACGTTTTAAAAGGACATAATGATGTGGTTACAAGTGTATCGATATCTCCTGATGGCAACCAACTGATATCGGGCGGTCACGACATGACGGTGCGGCTGTGGTCTCTCAAGACTCTGGATCAGGAACCGCGTATTTTAAAAGTAAATAGTGCTGTACACAGCGTAGTGGTTTCACCGGACGGTACTCAACTAGCATCTGGCAGTAAAGATAATATGGTACGGCTGTGGTCCCTTAAGAATCTAGATCGAGAACCTCGCATTTTAGAAGGACATACTCGATTTGTTGCGGCTGTAGCGATCTCTCCGGATGGTACCCAACTGGCATCGAGCAGTGAAGACAAGACAGTGCGATTGTGGCTTCTCAGAACTTTATATTGGGAACAGCGTATTTCGGAAGGCCACAATGATTGCATTACAAGTGTAGAAATTTCTTCCGACGGCACACAGCTAGTATCAGGAAGTAATGATAATACGGTTCGATTGTGGTCCCTTGGGACTTTGGACCAGAAACCGCTCATTTTTGAAGGACATACGGAGAGGGTTACAAGTGTGAAGATCTCTCCGGACGGAACTAAACTGGTATCTGGTAGTGGAGATGGAACGGTGCGACTATGGTCCCTTGAGAATCGGAATCAAGAATCGTGCATCTTGGAAGGACCTGGTAAGCGGGAAGAGGTTACGAGTATGGCGATATCTCTAGATGGTACTCAACTGGCATCGGGCAGTCTTGACGGTACGATACGAATATGGTCCCTTCAGACGATGAATCGAGAACCGCGCATTTTAGAAGGGCATAGTGATGCTATTCGCGGTATGTTCATCTCTCCGGATGGCGCCCAACTAGTATCTTGCAGTGAAGATAATACGGTGCGGTTGTGGTTCCTCAAGGATTTAGATCAGAAACCCCGTATTTTGGGCAGGCATAATGGTTGGATTACAAGTGTGACCATCTCTCCAAATGGTGCTCGATTGGCTACAGGTAGTGTCGACAATATTGTGCGATTGTGGTTCCTCAAGAACTTAGATCAGGAACCACACATTTTAAAAGGTCATACTCTAGGTGTTGAAAGTGTGGCCATCTCTCCGGATAGCACGCAGCTGGCTTCGAGTAGTTGGGATAATACGGTGCGTCTGTGGTCACTAGCTTCTGGTCACTGTTTGTCCATTGTAAATCTTCCTGGAACAGTTCATAGCCTTGCATGGAAAATTACAGAGGTGGAGTGTTTTCTGCTAACAGGTGGTTCTGATAGGGCTATTCGTTGGTGGCTGGTAGAAGAAACTGATGATCGGACATCGAATGTTACATTACTTTGGACTTCGCACCAAGCAATACTGTGGACTTCCAAGGTATTTACTGGATCCATAAAAGGTTTAAGTCCTATGAACATGCGTCTCTTAGGGCAAGGGGGGGCGTTAAAGAAATGAAAATGGGTGAAAGATAATGTAAGTTTAACATTACGGTAGAATAAAAGTCAGTGGATTAATAATTTCGCATATGAAGTTGGATAAAGTGTTTTTTTTTAATTCTCTATACCGGAATAGAAATAGACTATAATATACAATAGGTGCTTTAAAATAGAAATATATCAAGCGATAGATTAATTTTAAATTAAAATCAATATTGCCTTACATACTGTATTTACTGGTTTGTTAATTATACAGTTATTATATATGTTTTTTTTTTTTTTTTAATCGAAAATTATTGAAATTAATTTTATTGATTATTTTTATTTCGTTGTTTTAAAAGAATATATACTTTTTAAATAAAGTACCATAGAATTATAAAAAATTTTGTTAGAAAACGATCAAAGAATTTTGAATTAAAGAGAAATTCTAATAAAGTTATAAAAAATCTTTTTTATGAATTAAACTTTTTTCTGTTTGAAATTCATAAACTTTTTAACTTATCCAAGATAAAATGTTTTTTAAGAATCAATTCTTATAAAAAAATTTTTTTTTTTTTTGTGGCAGAGCCATACTTTATTGATGTTACTAAAGTGACAAAAGAAGATAACTATTCTAGATTGTATATCCAATCCACTTATCAAAATAAAATAAACAACAGGATTATTCTTGAGAGAATATTTACCTTGTAGCTAATACCTTTCTATCAAAGCCAGAGGAATTAGTAAAAAGGTCACTAGTGCTAAAATAAATTTCAAAGGAAAAGGTAACAGGAATATACAGTATAATATTTGGATATATGTTTACCATAGACCTGTACCGTAAAGGCGCGAAATAACATACAGCTACGCGTTATTTCAAATACCTGCGTGTTATTTCGAGTACGTATGTGCGTTATTTCAAGAAAATTATCGATTTTTCAAACAATTATTTTTAAAATAACGCACATGAGTGTTATTTAGCTCGTGATAATTTTTTATACCTGTGAATTTGTGATTTTTAAGGCTCAACAGGGGCGTATAAAAAGATACAAATAAATATAAGCCACACACAAGGATCTAATTCATATTATTTTTTTGCACATAACAATAAACAAATTATTTATTTTTTTCGTATCCATTGTTTTTCATATTTATTCCTAGCAAAAACCCAAAAATTTCTAAAAGCGATTGTATTAAAAACTTAAAATAATAATGAAAATAAGACTTTGCCGTACTTACCTATTGTTCACTTTATCACAATGCCTTTACGTATTTGTAAACTTTTTATAGTTACAACATTGTTAGTGGCTAAGCATTTAAAAAAATATAATTATACGAAAATTATTGTATTATTTTTCTTAACTATGAATAATAATTCTGGTAAAAACACAATTCTTTTTGAACTCTTTCCCGTACATCGGTGGTGTAGTAGGCACAACCATTGATCCATCAAAAACCAAGGAGAAAGAATGAACACGCGAAGGCTGCTTCGCAGCAACAACGCAACCACCCACCCAAACTACAACAAGCAAGTTCTTGCAAAGGGCCAGACCGGTCCTAGGGCCACAACAAGACATACAAAGGAAGAGAAAAAGCTCAGCAGCACGAAGAAAACCGCAAGTCCGGTGGAAGAAAACCCGGCGGAAACTGAACACACCACCTCCCAAACGCAGCAACAACGGGCCCGTGCCCCCAAGCCAACATAGGAACAAACAACCTCGGCCCATCCTCCTGGAGTGACAGCTTTGAAGAGGAGGCCATCCCGGCGAACAGCAAAACAGGCACAGTTGACATCCACGGAATGGAGATGGAACGTCGGGCTCACCTTCACACTTCACAAATAATCACGGACCTGATGGACTCAGACACTGAGATGGGACTGAAAGAAGAAAACGAAACCAGCTGAGAAGAGAGAGCCAGAAACGCGAACGAACGGCATGAAGACTGGAACCTTCTAGTAGGAAAAGGGAAAGGCAAAGAAAGAGAAGAAGCAAGTTTCAAAGGCATCAAACCCCATCACAACATACATTTACTGCAAACAGATAATCTGATACTCAAACACATATCAGAGATGAGAAACAAGACAATTAAGGCCAACAGTGTCACAGTTTGGACATTCTCTTGGACATAATCTTCCACAACATACAACAGATCTTTGTAAAATATGGTCAAATTGGCAATATCTCAATGTCAACATAACACATGTGGCAAAATAACCACATACTCAGGAAACAAATACAATGAATAAGCAAACCAACTGGCAAAGATAGATATAAAACTGGAAATAAGATCAGGGAAAAAGAATATCGAAGTTTGCCCTATACAAAACATACAATTTATACTTATCCCACAATGGGACAACAGAACCTTAAAAGTTTCTATAAAGAAGATAATCCAAGAACTTATGAAAGTCACACTCCTCGCAAGATGAAGGCTACTCAACAAATAAGAACCAAATTAAGTGACAGAATTATTAGACAAATTTATTGACCAACAATAATGACCTTATTACAACCCATGCAAATGAGTAAATAGCTAATCAACTGGGAAGATCAGCAACAGAAAAAATTTAATTTATGCCTTTGGAATGAAGAACTACTCAACAAAGTCAAATTTCACTTATGCTTATCAAACCTATATACAGATGACAAATATATTAAATGTAGAGAAAAAGAGATCAATACCTATCCTTTCACATATCAAAAATGATAGAAGGAAATAAAAAAGCAGATCAAGACCATTATAGTCAAAAAATTACAGCATGGTATAATAAAAGACCTCAAAATACAAATTGCTAAATACAGATACCATACATCTTTAAATTATACTGAATATCTCAAGATCACAATCAAAGGAATAATCCTAAAAAAAACTTACCACACAGTAACACACTGTATTCTAAATAAATGAAACCAATATCAATATCTTAAGGAGATCAGACAAGAGATGAGCTAATATTTCTATCAAATCTGGAAATCAAGATGCTAAGATTTTTAAAAATGAAAAACTCAATAAAAAATTACAATAAAGTTAGAAAAAACCTTCAAATACAATATACTGATCAAATATAACTAGCTTGATAAAATGGAAAGACACTAAAAAATCAACACATCAATTTATTTAATAATTATATCAAGAAATACACTATTAATGTCACACATCCATCACATATCTTTAAAATTTATATAGTACTAGTCCAGCTTTAATAGGTTAGCTCCCTTCTAGGATAGCAATAAGCTATAAGGTGAAATATTTCTATCAAACTGAATCTGATTAACATAGGTAGTCTTAGCATAAATTATATATATATATCATTACTTAATCCAAATAAAATAAGGCTGAGCCAGCTTGCAAAATAATAATAATAATAAAATAATTCTGATAAAAAATGAAGTTATACTGTATTCTTTAAACCTGAAGTAATATCAAAAAAATTTTTTTAAAGTCCAACTTGTCAGAATAATGTTTTATTGAGTATTAAGTAGTAGAAGTAAACTATATAAGCAATTTGTATAATCTTTGATTACACTACCTATCTTAACCAAACTTGTCAATTTTATTATATAGTGGTAATACTTTGTCAGTTGCCCTGTTTTGCCCAGGACTATAGCATTCCAAAGATCTACTATAGACTTCTTATTATTAATCTTCAAGGGACTTGTGTTCTGTATTTCTTAATGGGGTCTTGTTTTACTTCTTGATAATTATAGGTACCATGAATGATCCCTACCATATTTAGATTCTTCGCAGCCTAGTTAAAACTTAGATGGCATAAGTCTCCAGTTATGTTCTTTGATATCCAGGTGATTCAATGGTGTCACATAATTGGGTGGCATATAGCCTTTTATTGTCTCATTTTAAGCACTTTTGCAAGTTGACTTTACAAGAGTTTTCCTTGATTACTTAGTAATGGATTACTTCTCTCAATAGATTGGTTGCCTTGGTGATTGTTTTCTAATTTATTCTCCCAGGGTCTGCCCCTGCAGATTTCTCAACATGATACTAATGCTAACTACCAGCCTTCACAATAGCCGTCTTCTTTAGTAGTTGTTGGTTTCATGATCATAGAGATTTTCCATTAATTGTTGTTATGATCTATTATATTTTGACAGATACAAGTGAATGAAGTCTCCCTTATACCCTATAGGATATAGTTTTGACAAGAAGTGGATGTTCTTCCCATATTTGTTAAGAGGCTTAATCTGATCGATATTTTTCCTGGCTTGTCTTGGATTCTTATATATTTCAGGTGGCAGGTTTATCAAAGATTTCCTTAACATTAAAATTGGCCAAGGCTTGGATGACCTGGATTTTACATCATAGTCAGACAGTGAAAATCTATAGGTTGTTTGTGGGTATAAGGATGCATGTAGTGATGAGCATGCATCTTGTACAATGTAACCTATATTGTGAAAACTGTTCCTAGATGGGATTAAACCAGTAACTTGTGAATGGTGACTTGAGAGTGTACTCACTGCACTATTGATCCACAGGTCTGTAATATCATATATTAAAAGTATATCCATATCAATATATTGTAAGTAGATTAAAAATGTGTTCAAAAATGGAAAAAGCAAAAGTCTAAACTTGAAGCTATTAAAAATAATCCACATTTAAGTTCAGATCATGTGTGAGTACTTGAAGAAGTATGTGAGCTTATTGAAATTGCTAATGATTGACAAATTTTCTGTTATTTTATTAAAAGATTGTTGTCAATCTTCTTTTACAGTTTTTACAAGATGACTAATGCCTTTTTCTGTTAATTAAGTTGATCTACCAAATCTAGAAATGACAATAGTTTGTTGGTTTGTCTTATATATTTTAATAATATTATAAATAATTATTTTTGGATAATTAAGAATATCTTTAATATTACACTTATTGTGACCACCTTTTCACAGATCAACAATTTGGGCATGCTCAAAATCCGTAAGTTACAAGTTTTAGGCATTGATTTTTTTTATTTTTGAATAAAGGAAATTTCTAACTACCTAGGAAAAAATTTTTGATGAATTTTTATGCATTAGATTTAGAGTTATTCACAGATAAAGTTTGATTCTTGGAGTAACGATCTTTATGTGGTCCGATACTTTTGTCAGGTGAGTGTACATACAGTATAACACACAGTATATACTGTAAGTATGATTAACAAAGAAAAATAAAAAGAAACTCGAGATTTTGCTAGGTCGACTAGGGTCACTAGGGACAGATATTAAAAAAAAAAAGGTTATATTATCCGAAAATTATTAAATTGCTGGCCTTACTTCCGGCCCAGTATTTTTTTTTCCAAAAGCCAGTTTTTTTTAGGGACAATGGACAACAATTTAGTTTCCGTGTCAAATATTCTATTCTTTGCCCATTCTTTACCATTTTAGATAACTTATTCCAATAATAAAAGGCTTTAGCATGACATTTATCTGCATGTAAGCTATACTTAGAAGTAGTCTCTTTACCGCATTCTAAACAGGGGACGCGTTGACGCCTTTTCCAATAAATAGGATATTCTTCTTGCCGATAGCAAGGCCAACCACAGATCACAAGTAAGATACTGACAAATATAATTCCTGACACCGATTATTATTTGTTGAAACTTACTTGATACCATATAATAGTGTCTCAGGTAAAAATATTTAATAATTATTTTTGAATTAAACTTTTTTATCAGGGTAATATATTACAAAACTAACCCGATTATACAATCAAAATTTTCAAGAAAATATTGATCATGTGGCATAAATAGAGGAAGGAGAGAACGGGGGCTTCTACCACCGGGGGACCAAAGCCGAGAGTGTGGCTGAATATATGTATAAAATTCGTGAAGATAGTGTAAAGCCAAGACAATTTCTCGGTACAGATTCCAAAGATGGAATAGAAGCTTAGTGAACGACAAGGACATTCATTACACTAATTCATTGATGGCGATGGCCCACTTCGTCCCTTTATCAATTTTGATTTGTCTGGTGGAAAATTTGATAAAATCGAATCCAAGCTTACATATAAAGAAATACAGGATTTGCTTTATCGTGCCTTTAAAGAAGTGTGTCTAGAAATATACCCAGACTAAATGCCCAATACTTTAACAATTGCTAGTAGTAATGACAAGAAAAAAGTGTCTCTTCATATATCAACTTTTGGTCTCCGACTCAAAATCATGGCTAAAGTTGCAGTATTTACTGAGCTAGTTCACAAAAAAACTTCCGTTAGATTTACAAGAAAAAGATATTGTCGATAATATTGCGAATAAATATTTATTCTATTTGCGAATACTCGGAACTCCAAAATATATTAAAGAGACTAATGAACATGTACGGCTAAAAAAAGCTTTTTATCCAAAAGATATTTCTGTCTTTGATTTTATGCTTCGCCCACCTAATGATGAGGCACCGGTTATAGACAATCCGATCTTACAGTAAATACTTTAAACTCATGTAAACATTTCTGATTCGTCCACTCAAGGATTGAATATAGAAAATTTTTCTATACCCGTCTCAGAGTTGATTAGAATATGTAATAATAGTATAGAAAGTAGTGAGGCTGAGCTCAAATTAGTAAAGCAGTTACTGTAACATGCTAATATTTCAGGATATGAAGTATCGTTTCCTACAGAAAATTATCCTAACACCTTTTATCTTAAACGCCCCATTATGTAAACGGGAAGATAAAGACCAAAATGATCACATACATGAGAATGATAATGCATACGTTATTCGAAATAAGAAATCGTATAGCTTCTATTGCTATCGTGCAAATGATAAGAGAGTTCCTGGAACAAGAAAACCTTCGATAAAACTTACTATTAATGAATCAGCCATGGATCGAGAAAATAAACTTTCAATTCCCCCCAAACTAGAACAATCCAGAATTTCTAATCCAAACGATCATTTTGTATGGGGAAACCTGCTAGAT